CACTGACGACACCACTTCCACTAGTGTTCTTGATACTACTACCTTATCACCACCTGCTCGCTAATCTCAAAGGCCTCACCGACCATCTATTTGGCTCCGTGACTACAATTGCTCCATTGCCACAACTGACTTCCCATCAATGTCGTCTCCTTCATTGCCGGGCTCCAAGGTGAAAGGCACACATTTTCCTTTGTCTGATGTCCTTTCTTACCATTGTTTGTCATCTCAACATTGTGCATCTGTTGCAAAAATTTATGATACTTTTGAACCCAGTTCTTTTAATCAAGTTATGCAGGATCCTAATTGGTTTCTTGCAATGGATGTTAAAATTGAGGCCCTTGAACGAAATAACACTTGGAAGGTGACTTCACTGCCTCCGCATGTCAAACCCATAGGTTGCAAACGGGTTTACAAAATCAAACATCGGTCTGATGGAAGTATTGAGTGTTATAAAGCTCGTCTTGTGGCTAAAATTGCTAGGCTTGACTATGATGAAACTTTCGTCCCAGTTGCAAAACTTGTCACAGTGCGTTGTCTTCTTACTGTGGCTTCTATTAGGCATTGGTCACTTCTTCAGCTAGATGTACATAACACATTTCTTCATGGGGATCTCGATGAGGAGGTCTATATGACCTTACCACACGGATATCCTGGGAAGGGGGAGAACCTTGTTTGTCACCTCCAAAAGTCATTGTATGGTCTTAAGAAGCATCTCATAATTGGTTTTCTAAGTTCTTTACTGTAGTGCACGATGCTGGATATAAGCAGTCCAAAGCTAATTATTCTTTATTCACTCGTTCGCATGGCTCTTCTATAACTGCAATCCTTATCTTTGTCGATGATATCATTGTCACTAGTAATCATCCACCTGATATTGTTGCTCTAAAAGAATTTCTACATCTCCGATTCTACATCAAAGATCTTGGCCCTCTTAAGGTTTTCTTGGGCATCGAGGTTGCTCGCTCATCAAAAGGTATTAGTATCTCTCAATGAAAGTACACACTTGAAATACTAGATGACATGGATCTTCTCAGTGCTCGTCCTACTCCTTTTCCCATAGGACAAAATCTCAAATTAAGTCCTGACACTGGAGAACTTCTTAATGATCCAACTCTATACCATCGCCTCATTGGTCCCCTAATTTACCTTACGATCACACGACTTGATATTGTTTATTCAGTTCATGTCCTTAGTTAGTTCATGCAACAACCACACACACCTCATCTCGCCTCTGACATGCGTGTTCTTCGTTATCTCAAGGATTCTCTAGGCCAAGGACTTCTTCTATCCTCAACAAGCACACTTCAATTGAAACTTTTTTGTAATTTTGATTAGGCCAATTGTCCTATGACCAGACGATCTACCACGGGCTATTGCACTTTGTTAGGTAATTCTCTTATTTCATGGAAAACAAAGAAACAACACACCGTGTCTCATTCTACGGCTGAAGCAAAATATCGTGCTCTTGCCACTGCCAATTGTGAACTTACATGGCTTCTTTATCTGCTACATGATTTGGGAGTTCCGCACTCGCATCCTGCAACATTATTCAAGCTGCTCTCCATATCACTGCTAATCCCGTTTTTCACGAACGAACCAAACACATAGAAATTGATTGTCCTTTTGTTCGAGACAAAATTCAATCTGGTCTTCTTTGTACTCGTTATCTTCCTACTACTCAGCAGTTGGCTGATCTCTTCACCAAACCCCATGGAAAAGCCCAATTTCTTCATCTACTTAGCAAGTTGGGAGTTCATTGCTTTCACTCTCCAACTTGAGGGGGAGTATTAGGATGTTTCCGTTATTGTGTTTGTGAACAGCTGCAGAATCTTCTATTATAGGGAACCAATTGTATGATTTGCTTTGATTAAGGCAGCCTCAAAGGCTTTGTTTAAGACAAGACATGGACAGCCAATTGTATGTAGTTTGTATAAATACCTTTGTAACACAGAAATGCAATATACAATTTTTCCTCACTAAATTTTTACATAATAAGATATCAAAAACTAAAAAATTATTAGACAATACCTATAAGAGAGAGAGAGCTCTTCCTTGTGCCTGAAGACACTATATAATATAAAATTTGAACATTCAAAAAATTGATCATACTATATTAAATAATAATTTTTCATTCATTCATTTATTTGATTATATCATTTAAAATTTATTTTTATCCATTATTTTTTAAAAAATATCAACACAAATACGTAATTCGATAAATTTTCTCAACATGCGTAGATTATCGTGTATGGATAATGTCAAAAATAAAAATTATATTAAACTATAAATTAATCAAATATTAAACAATTTAACATGTGATAAAAATAGATGATGAGATAGTTTTTGGAGGGGAGAAGAGAATATGTATGAGATAAATTTTAAAACATCTAACTGTTTTATTATATAGATATTGGTTCTAACGGTCAAAATAGTTAGCAATGATCATATTAGTCACGAACGGTCAGATCTGATGGTCCTAACGAAGCTAAGGGCATTTTCAAAAAAAATAAATGAATAATATTCTACCATTATGCAATTTTGACGAATTGTTTATGAATATTAAAATTGTTTGGTTTATGGGTTACAAATGCACATATTTGAAGTGACAGTGTAAAATTTCTTATACCTANAATACTAGATGACATGGATCTTCTCAGTGCTCGTCCTACTCCTTTTCCCATAGGACAAAATCTCAAATTAAGTCCTGACACTGGAGAACTTCTTAATGATCCAACTCTATACCATCGCCTCATTGGTCCCCTAATTTACCTTACGATCACACGACTTGATATTGTTTATTCAGTTCATGTCCTTAGTTAGTTCATGCAACAACCACACACACCTCATCTCGCCTCTGACATGCGTGTTCTTCGTTATCTCAAGGATTCTCTAGGCCAAGGACTTCTTCTATCCTCAACAAGCACACTTCAATTGAAACTTTTTTGTGATTTTGATTAGGCCAATTGTCCTATGACCAGACGATCTACCACGGGCTATTGCACTTTGTTGGGTAATTCTCTTATTTCATGGAAAACAAAGAAACAACACACCGTGTCTCATTCTACGACTGAAGCAGAATATCGTGCTCTTGCCACTGCCAATTGTGAACTTACATGGCTTCTTTATCTGCTACATGATTTGGGAGTTCCGCACTCGCATCCTGCAACATTATTCAAGCTGCTCTCCATATCACTGCTAATCCCGTTTTTCACGAACGAACCAAACACATAGAGATTGATTGTCCTTTTGTTCGAGACAAAATTCAATCTGGTCTTCTTTGTACTCGTTATCTTCCTACTACTCAGCAGTTGGCTGATCTCTTCACCAAACCCCATGGAAAAGCCCAATTTCTTCATCTACTTAGCAAGTTGGGAGTTCATTGCTTTCACTCTCCAACTTGAGGGGGAGTATTAGGATGTTTCCGTTATTGTGTTTGTGAACAGCTGCAGAATCTTCTATTATAGGGAACCAATTGTATGATTTGCTTTGATTAAGGCAGCCTCAAAGGCTTTGTTTAAGACAAGACATGGACAGCCAATTGTATGTAGTTTGTATAAATACCTTTGTAACACAGAAATGCAATATACAATTTTTCCTCACTAAATTTTTACATAATAAGATATCAAAAACTAAAAAATTATTAGACAATACCTATAAGAGAGAGAGAGCTCTTCCTTGTGCCTGAAGACACTATATAATATAAAATTTGAACATTCAAAAAATTGATCATACTATATTAAATAATAATTTTTCATTCATTCATTTATTTGATTATATCATTTAAAATTTATTTTTATCCATTATTTTTTAAAAAATATCAACACAAATACGTAATTCGATAAATTTTCTCAACATGCGTAGATTATCGTGTATGGATAATGTCAAAAATAAAAATTATATTAAACTATAAATTAATCAAATATTAAACAATTTAACATGTGATAAAAATAGATGATGAGATAGTTTTTGGAGGGGAGAAGAGAATATGTATGAGATAAATTTTAAAACATCTAACTGTTTTATTATATAGATATTGGTTCTAACGGTCAAAATAGTTAGCAATGATCATATTAGTCACGAACGGTCAGATCTGATGGTCCTAACGAAGCTAAGGGCATTTTCAAAAAAAATAAATGAATAATATTCTACCATTATGCAATTTTGACGAATTGTTTATGAATATTAAAATTGTTTGGTTTATGGGTTACAAATGCACATATTTGAAGTGACAGTGTAAAATTTCTTATACCTAAGAGAGTCTGTTTAATTAAATGACAAATCTTAGGGGTCTAAATATAAAAAAAAAATTTAACATTTTAAATTCAATTAACCAACATAATTCATAAATAAAAAATCCAAAATCAAGACCCATTTGTCTGTTTTTCAAATCCACCACTCACATGTACCTCATAAACTAAATCCATTAAATTTTTATATTAGCAAACTCAAAAATATAGATATTAATCGATCATAATTCACGATTCATTAATTTCATATCGATGCTTTAAAAATTCATCACATCAATTCGAGTACATTTTATCCCTGCCAGCCAAAGCTAAATGAAAGATCTGAGTAAGCCTCGTCTGAGTACAACTAACCACATCTTACTTTGGGGTTTAAATCATGGATAAAATTATTTTGTTGAAATTTATTATTTAAATCTTATATTTTAAATGATATATTAAAATTTTATATACTGAATGTTTAGTGGAATTAATAGATCTTACTAAATCAACCGGTTACATTAATTTAAAATATAAAATTAAATAAACAATTTTGTCGTCATAGTACTACAATCACTGACACCCCTTTAGTCTACAAAGGATGTGTTGGGCACATGCAAACCACAAACATCCACCATTTTCTTCAAGCCTTTATCCAATCAATCACGCAGCTATATATTCCTTGCTTCCTATCGCTCTTCCTCTTGAATTGAAACTCAAAGGCATCCACAAACTAAGATCTTACTTACAGAAACCAACTTCAGAATAACAGGCGCTATGGAAGCTCTCAGAGCTTCCTCTCTCTCTTCGTTTCACCTCACAAAACTATCTACAAGACATTGCAGTACCCAATTTGAGAAAACTAATTTGAATTATCCACCAAGTCGACGACCCAATTCTGCTCTTTCATCATTTCACCGCAACAAACCACAATTCAAGCTATTTAACGCCATTTCTTCACCTTTTTTAACTGAATCCATAGACCCACCCGAAAAAGAAACTGAAATTCAAAACCCAGAAGAACAATTTGATTGGTTTGCGCATTGGTATCCGATCATGCCGGTTTGCGACCTTGATAAGAGGAAGCCACATGGGAAGAAGGTGATAGGTCTTGATGTTGTGGTTTGGTGGGATAGAAATGAGAGTGAATGGAAGGTGTTTGACGATAGTTGTCCTCATAGGTTGGCTCCATTGTCTGAGGGAAGGATTGATCAGTGGGGCCGCTTGCAGTGTGTATACCATGGTTGGTGTTTTGGTGGCACTGGTGATTGCAAATTCATTCCCCAAGCACCCCGAGATGGTCCTCCGGTAACTTCTTGCATGTTTTTAATGCTTGATGGTTATAAAAATAACCGTGCAACTGAATTTTGGTTACATATGACTGCGGCATTCTCTGTTTATCTTTGCCAAAACCCTGTTGACTGTTTATTCATTTACAAATTACAACATAAGCAATACGGCATGCATCTTATGAATATGAAACTTTGAGAAACTTTCTAGTATTCATCATAGGATGTTTGGAGATATAGAATGGAATTCAGATGATGAAATGCCACGTACAAAGCTATGAGGAGGCATTTCTGAAAATGATTTTAGCAAACACTTTCTGTGAATACACAATAAGTAAGATGTGATATACGGCGTAACCGAATATAATTGAGTGAAGTTGCACCCACAAAAAATAGGTACTTGAGTGAAGTTTGAAGACAAGGGAATATGAAGAAGGGAAAGTATGGATGAAAGTGATTGGACAAACTTTTGAAGGAAACAAGGATTGGAAATCAATTTGGATATATATCAAGAAGACCAAACATGGAACTTAATTCCTTATTTAGGCAAAGAGAAGACAGGCCTCCATTTGTTGTCCATTGTCTGTCTTTCAATCAGTTTATGACATGGTTCTTAGAAAGATCCTATAAGAAATTTAGATTGAAGTACATATCTGTTTCTTAAGTAATCATTGATTGGCTTGATCAAACTGGTGAAATCTATCTAGGACCGGCATAGATCCTATATTATTTGCTTTGGTTGTGACCTAGTTTATCAGGACCTTACGGTAGGCACCATCAATGATTTTGTTTTCTTGACTAGATAAAAACTTAAGGTTAAGAGCCGGGAAAAATTGGGTTTACCTGATACAATATTTATTTGGCTGGATAAAAACCAATGTTTATTAAAGGAATTAGTTGCAGCAGCGTATTTATTGGGTTTACCTGATACAATATGTTAGAGCTTGTTCCTCGTTTGTTTTGTGAGGCCTTTCAATCTGTATCAATTTTGNTAAAAAAAAAATTTAACATTTTAAATTCAATTAACCAACATAATTCATAAATAAAAAATCCAAAATCAAGACCCATTTGTCTGTTTTTCAAATCCACCACTCACATGTACCTCATAAACTAAATCCATTAAATTTTTATATTAGCAAACTCAAAAATATAGATATTAATCGATCATAATTCACGATTCATTAATTTCATATCGATGCTTTAAAAATTCATCACATCAATTCGAGTACATTTTATCCCTGCCAGCCAAAGCTAAATGAAAGATCTGAGTAAGCCTCGTCTGAGTACAACTAACCACATCTTACTTTGGGGTTTAAATCATGGATAAAATTATTTTGTTGAAATTTATTATTTAAATCTTATATTTTAAATGATATATTAAAATTTTATATACTGAATGTTTAGTGGAATTAATAGATCTTACTAAATCAACCGGTTACATTAATTTAAAATATAAAATTAAATAAACAATTTTGTCGTCATAGTACTACAATCACTGACACCCCTTTAGTCTACAAAGGATGTGTTGGGCACATGCAAACCACAAACATCCACCATTTTCTTCAAGCCTTTATCCAATCAATCACGCAGCTATATATTCCTTGCTTCCTATCGCTCTTCCTCTTGAATTGAAACTCAAAGGCATCCACAAACTAAGATCTTACTTACAGAAACCAACTTCAGAATAACAGGCGCTATGGAAGCTCTCAGAGCTTCCTCTCTCTCTTCGTTTCACCTCACAAAACTATCTACAAGACATTGCAGTACCCAATTTGAGAAAACTAATTTGAATTATCCACCAAGTCGACGACCCAATTCTGCTCTTTCATCATTTCACCGCAACAAACCACAATTCAAGCTATTTAACGCCATTTCTTCACCTTTTTTAACTGAATCCATAGACCCACCCGAAAAAGAAACTGAAATTCAAAACCCAGAAGAACAATTTGATTGGTTTGCGCATTGGTATCCGATCATGCCGGTTTGCGACCTTGATAAGAGGAAGCCACATGGGAAGAAGGTGATAGGTCTTGATGTTGTGGTTTGGTGGGATAGAAATGAGAGTGAATGGAAGGTGTTTGACGATAGTTGTCCTCATAGGTTGGCTCCATTGTCTGAGGGAAGGATTGATCAGTGGGGCCGCTTGCAGTGTGTATACCATGGTTGGTGTTTTGGTGGCACTGGTGATTGCAAATTCATTCCCCAAGCACCCCGAGATGGTCCTCCGGTAACTTCTTGCATGTTTTTAATGCTTGATGGTTATAAAAATAACCGTGCAACTGAATTTTGGTTACATATGACTGCGGCATTCTCTGTTTATCTTTGCCAAAACCCTGTTGACTGTTTATTCATTTACAAATTACAACATAAGCAATACGGCATGCATCTTATGAATATGAAACTTTGAGAAACTTTCTAGTATTCATCATAGGATGTTTGGAGATATAGAATGGAATTCAGATGATGAAATGCCACGTACAAAGCTATGAGGAGGCATTTCTGAAAATGATTTTAGCAAACACTTTCTGTGAATACACAATAAGTAAGATGTGATATACGGCGTAACCGAATATAATTGAGTGAAGTTGCACCCACAAAAAATAGGTACTTGAGTGAAGTTTGAAGACAAGGGAATATGAAGAAGGGAAAGTATGGATGAAAGTGATTGGACAAACTTTTGAAGGAAACAAGGATTGGAAATCAATTTGGATATATATCAAGAAGACCAAACATGGAACTTAATTCCTTATTTAGGCAAAGAGAAGACAGGCCTCCATTTGTTGTCCATTGTCTGTCTTTCAATCGGTTTATGACATGGTTCTTAGAAAGATCCTATAAGAAATTTAGATTGAAGTACATATCTGTTTCTTAAGTAATCATTGATTGGCTTGATCAAACTGGTGAAATCTATCTAGGACCGGCATAGATCCTATATTATTTGCTTTGGTTGTGACCTAGTTTATCAGGACCTTACGGTAGGCACCATCAATGATTTTGTTTTCTTGACTAGATAAAAACTTAAGGTTAAGAGCCGGGAAAAATTGGGTTTACCTGATACAATATTTATTTGGCTGGATAAAAACCAATGTTTATTAAAGGAATTAGTTGCAGCAGCGTATTTATTGGGTTTACCTGATACAATATGTTAGAGCTTGTTCCTCGTTTGTTTTGTGAGGCCTTTCAATCTGTATCAATTTTGTGGGCCTACCCATTCGATGGCATTTTTTTAAGCTGTACAATTTAACAAATGTTTAAAATTCTATGAGTAGCCCTCGTTTGAATGCACTCAATATTACTCAAGTTTAAGTTGATGTCTTCACCCGTGTACTCTTTCACAGTGCTGGTATTTTCAGCATGTTTGCTCTATTTCTCACATAAGTGATTTTGATTGACCTTCTCAATATTTGTGCAGGTTAACACATTCAAAAAAGCATGTGTAGCTGTTTATCCAAGTTGTGTGCAAAATGGCATTGTTTGGTTCTGGCCGAACACTGATCCTCAATACAGGGATATCCTTCTGAAGAAAAGACCCCCCTATATCCCAGAAATTGATGATCCATCTTATACTAAGTTAATTATAAATCGAGATATACAATATGGGTATGCAAGTATATATTTTATAACTTTTTTTTCCTTATTTCTGGCAATTTTTTTGAATATCCTTTTCGACAGGGAATTATATTTTTCTAATTTCCTGAGCCGGCCAAGATTGTCATAAAAAGGGATCAATGATAATGAAAGAGGAGGGGTAATTGTAGGCGTCTGTAATGGAGCAATTGAATGCTCCTAATAACAGATGCTGGGTTGTTTTAATCAATGCTGGAGAAAAGAGAGAGTAATGAAACCCATGAAAAAAGAACAAATGAAAAGATGAAATGCAGAAAGGACAAATCAAAGGGACTAAGAATTTTTTTTCCCTGCTGGAAGATTACAACAAATTTCTCTTTTTTCCTTTTGGGTTCAGATATTTAATAGCAGTTTACTTTTGAGTTCTCCTAGATGAGCTAGAGTGACATTTTCAGGTATGAGGTGCTGATTGAAAATCTCATGGACCCTGCTCATGTACCATATGCACACTATGGCATCATGCGAGTTCCAAAACGTCCAAAAAGATAAGTAACTTTACTACATGACATTACTGTTGATATTGGGTTTGTTTCATCTTCGTTTAGGATGTTCACATGGCTAACATGAAGTTTCTTGCACTGTGAAGGCTGATAGAGAAGGGGGCCGACCACTTGAAATAAGTATACAGAAAGTAGACCTAAATGGTTTTACTGCAAAGCAACAGTTCGGCGCCAGCACTTTTATTGCTCCTTGTGTGTATTATGGTTTTTTCAGTCCTGGGGGGATTCCAGATAATGGATCTGCATCATCAGCAAGCACCACAGAGGTAATCAGTCATGTACTATGTCACATCCACTACTCTGTTTATTGTTAACATTATTACTACTACTTCCGTGCTTTTCGTACTTCTATTTAATGCATGCTTCAACTGGTTCAGGGGCCATCATCACTTGTATCACAAAAAAGAGCCCTTTTAGTTTTCTTCTGTATCCCAGTAAGTCCGGGCAATAGCAGATTGATATTTACTGCTCCAAGAAATTTCAGTGTTTGGATTGACCGAGTAGTTCCACGATGGATATTTCATGTGGGACAAAACTTGATTCTGGATTCAGATTTGTATCTTCTTCACGTGGAGGTAACTCCTATGTCTATGTGTGCAGAGTTTTTACCAATTTAATTAGCTGCTTAATACGCATGCGAAATGAGACTTCAGGTCTCACATTTTCCTTGTAACTGTGCTTACAAGCATTCTGTACTGGTGAATTGTCTTGTCTTTCAATTTCATATGGTGAAAATTACTAGATGCTTCTTGATGACGAGTCTTCTGATTGATTTTTTTTTTTGGTCGTTTTCACTAGAAAAAGTGGTACAAAAGAAGAGTGAGAAAATGTAGGTTGAAAGGCTAACACAATATAGGAGGGGGAGAAAAGATGGGTTCTTGCTGAATTAAACACCTAGAACTAGACCAGTAGGCCCAGCAAATATTCCAGGGAACCTTTCTGTGTTAATTGATGGTGGATCACAGAAGATTAGAGATAATTAATTGGTTTCCTCTCTTTACTATGTTTTCATTGACAGATCTCACTGATCTCTGTCTTTTTCGCCAAGTAATAGTACGTCATTCCATATTTAAAAATCAAAAGCATGGAAATTCTAGATTGGTTATTTTCATAGATTCGATTGTCGCTGTATATATATGAAGATGACATACTGTCAGAGCCATAGGGCTTACCAACTATATCTTCATTTATAACATTCATTTCTTGCTTAAATGCCTAATAGTTTCGTTGACATCTTAACTAAAAAAGAAAGGAAGTTGTTCACTACAGTTTCATCCAACAGGTGAAGTACACTGGCAATCATGTTTGTTTATGTTGTGACCGAAACAGTCATGAAATGTATCTGTCTTCTTTACATGATGGAAATTGAGCCTTGGAAACTGTTCCTGACCTGTTCTTTGTTTGTAGGAGCGCAAAATAAGGGATGTTGGTCCTTCCAACTGGCAGAAAGCTTGTTTTGTGCCAACAAAGGCAGATGCTATTGTAGTTTCTTTCAGACGGTGGTTAAACAAGTATGCAGGCGGTCAGTTTGATTGGGGAACCAAGTACAGTGGAGCCCTTCCACCGACTCCTCCTAGAGAGCAGCTTCTGGACAGGTTGCTTCTGTGCAGTATTTTGCTCTCTGCTTTAAGCTGCTTCTTTTCTTCTACTCTTCCCCTTTCTTATGCACTCTTGAAAAGGGAAAACAAAATGATAATCGAAACTGAAGCTTGATGTAAAATCGAGGATCAGGAGGAGTCCTGTTGTCCTGGGACCACCTCCAAAATTAAGAAGTCCAAGAGATATTTAAGTGTTTTTTCTCCTTGCTTTTGCACAATGATCTTCATAAGATAAAGGTGTTAAATTGTCTATTGTCCTAGTTCATTGTTCATGAAAGGCATTTACGGATTGTTTCAGGTACTGGTCCCATGTGGTGAATTGCCAGAGTTGCAATCTTGCATATAAGGGTCTCAATGCACTTGAGATACTCCTGCAGGTCATCTCCTTTGCTTCAATTGGGATAGTTGCTGCAGCCAAGCAGGGTATGATTTCAGCTGCTTCAAGGAATACGTTGGTCACCATGGCTGTATTATGCTTTGTGGCTTCAAAGTGGTTGTCTCACTTCATCTACAAAACTTTCCATTTCCATGATTATGACCACGCCTTCCGCTGATACTCGATGCTCTTTTGTTGTCTGGCTTTTAAAGTGCTGTACAGTTAAGATAAACTGGTAATATCAATTCCCACTTTGAGTTTGTATATACCTGCGGTTTGCCAAAATAGGTAATAAGAATTTGAGCAATGCTACATGGACTTGAAAAACAGACTTAAAAACTAGACTTGATAATCTTAACCATTGATTTCACTGTAGGTTCCAGTATTTATTGGGATTCACTACCTCTTCAATGGTTGAGATTATCAAGTCTAATTTTTAAGTCTATTTTTTAAGTCTATCTAGTATTTATCTAAAAATTCTTCTTGTTAAATTGATTGGCCAGGTGTCATTATTTCACAGACATAAACGAATACAGGAAATGTTTTCTGCCATTAGAGGGGGCCATTGGTTTTTCAATTCAGTTGTCATGCTGACTTTTGAAATTGTAGAGACGCCAGGTTTATACATCCACTCAACCCGGTCTCTGGACTGATGGACCTGAATTAAATACACCAATGGCCATTTTCGGAACATACATTGAGAAAATTGCTAAAATATGCTGGATTTGAGCCATACATAAGCAGCTCTTTTGTTTATCTGGCTGGGGAATCGCTGGAGTTTTACACTTTCTACATGACATTTCAAATGTACATATTGTTTTGCTGGTAATACTGGATATATAGAAGCACATCCTGAATTTTTATGAGAAACACACAATCCATTCTATGTCTCCCGAATTCATATTCAGGGCTTCCTTATTCATGATATCTTTTGATTCTTTCCCTATTCTTCCTTTAGTTTGTGACTGAAATACCTATTTGCAATGCTTTCCAAATTATGTTGAAATTTGGACTTAATTTAATTTTCAAATAATCACCAAGTCACATGTAATTTGATCCAAACTCGTTAATTGTCATAAATGAGTGTATTGGGTAATCAATGTGAGAATTTTGAATGAAATAGGAAACGTATTATAAGAGTCTTAATAAACCATAGATAGATTTATTAGAGACTTAATAGGAATTTGGCAATATCCAAATTATATTGTGTTATATTATTTTATCCTTATAAATAGAGTTGAGNAAATGAGTGTATTGGGTAATCAATGTGAGAATTTTGAATGAAATAGGAAACGTATTAGAAGAGTCTTAATAAACCATAGATAGATTTATTAGTGACTTAATAGGAATTTGGCAATATCCAAATTATATTGTGTTATATTATTTTATCCTTATAAATAGAGTTGAGTATTATGTAATCAGTTACAAGATAATCAGTTTTTCTAGTGAACAATATATCGATATATGTTTTTGATCCTTAGATGTAGGTAGAGTGTATCGAGAGGATATACTGTATCGAATAACATTATATGTTTATGTTTTGTTTTATTTTTTATATTTATCTTTGAATGTCCTTTAGTTTGTGACTCAAATACCTATGCTTTCCAAATTGTGTTGAAATTTGGACTTAATTTAATTTTCAAATAATCACCAAGTCACATGTTGAAATTTGATCCAAACTCGTTAATTGTCATAAATAAGAGTGTTAAATAATCAATGTGAGAATTTTGAATTGAATAGGAAATGTATTAGAAAAGTCTTAATAAACCATGGATAAATTTATTAGTGACTTAATAGAAATCAGAGAGATTTGGCAATATCCAAATTATATTGGGTTATAATATTTTCTCTCTCTAAATAGAGTTGAATATTATATAATTAGTTATAAGATGACCAATTTTTCTAGTGAATAATATATCGATGTAGGTTTTTGATCCTTGGACGTCGTTACGGTGTATCGGGATGGTATATTGTATTGAATCACGTTATATCTTTATATTTTGTTTTATTGTTTTTTCTATCTTTGAATTTTTATCTTTCCAATTTATGGTGTCTATGTTAATTATCCATTGTGTAAAACAAACAAGTGGTATCAAAGTTAGATTGATGATCCTGGTAATACAATTAAAGCTAAATTGACAATGCTGGTGCAAAAATTAAAGCAAGTTATTGACGATTCAATGATCAAGTTGGTGTTCATGTTAAACAAGACTCCTTTGCCAAGTGTGTATGGCGTAATGTGAAGATTGATTTCGTCTTACGTACATTAGAGACGTAACCTTGAAAAATTAGTTGATGCATATTTTTTGTTTGGATCCACAAGAAAATTTTTTAAGTTGGTATGAAATCAAATGGGAGACTAAATTGCCTCTAGGTTGTTTGGATTTTAAGAATTACCACACGTATTGTGTTGAAGATAGTTTTTTTAGGATTTTGGGTTCTTAGAGTTGAAGTCAAGGTATTTCAATGGTTTGGGAGCTATTTGACTAACATAAACTTAGTAGTGATGATGTAGTATCTTGTGGTTTATGAGTCACTAAGTTTTTACCTTTGAATGGTGAAACATTGATCATTAAGACCTCCCAAGAGCAAGGAAGTTACGGGAAGAAATGCACAGACAATGCACGCTAAGACGCAGGTTCTTGATAGAGAAAGATAATTGTGGCAACTCAAAAAGTGCAGGTTTACACGTGGCGCTTAAAAATATTTGTGGATTAAAATCAAGGTGCTAAGTTCGATCTTGGGCATAACCAAATTTGAAGAGTTTGATTAAAGAGAGACTGTTAGAATTTGACCCCAACTCTCTAATTGTCATAAATGAGAGTTTGTTAGGTAACCAATACAAGAGTCTTGAATAGAATAGAAAACGTATTAGAATAGTCTTGATAAACTAGGGATAGATTTATTAGTGGCTTGATAGTATCCAAATTGTATTAGGTTACAGTATTTTATCCGTATAAATAGGGTTGAGTATTATGTAATCAATTACCATTTTGAGTAAATAATACATTGATATAAGTTTTTGGTCTGTAATTGTAGGTACGATGTAACAAGAGGGTAAGATGTATCGAACCACGTTATATTTTTGTATTTTATTAAATTATTTTTTCTATTTTTGAATTTCTATCTTCTAACTTTTGGTATAAGTGTCATAGCAGAGACCTTCTCTAATCAAATTCTAGAATCCCATTTGTTTTCTCTGGATTTTGAAAAATGCTGATGGTGAGATAGAGAAGCAAAATACAATTTGAGATCCGTTTGTCGACACTCGACATAAATGGCTAAGTCTAGATGTAGTTCTGTTCTATGTAGCATAGGAGTAATCTTGCATATCCAAGAGGACTTCCAATTTTTGTGTGCGTTATTCATTGAGCATAGATCTATTTTTGTTAGATTATGAATATTACAATGGAAAGAAACCTTTTTGTGCATCCAGGCCTGTATTCACTTGACTAATACATGGGTTATATTTGATTTTCCTTTAAATATTAGTTGAATTTAGTTCTATTCTAGCAGGGATAGGGGTCATCTAGCATTGCACAACAANTACATGGGTTATATTTGATTTTCCTTTAAATATTAGTTGAATTTAGTTCTATTCTAGTAGGGATAGGGGTCATCTATCATTGCACAACAACACAAGGATACATTTCTTCGAATGTATTGCACTAAGCTTAGAAACAACATGTGACGCCCTAAAACTGGGGGTCCTGTTGACCACCCGTCAACCAGCAAAAATATCCGTGATTATCGCATAATTCGACACCACGACAATAGTTTTCCATTTATCGGGATTCTAAACTCATACATGAAGCCCTATGCACCTTTATCATTGTATTTAACCGTGGTCCAACATATCACATTCCATTCTCCATTATAGTCCATTTACATCATAGGAACTAAATGATGCATAGCCCAAGGTCTGGGAGAAAGATTTAACAAAAAATTCAAAATCTGCCAAAGCGTACCGGTACGGGTTGCTCACTGGACCTCACCATACTGGTACGCGTACCAATACGGTTTGCCTTCTGGACCTTGTCGTACCAGTACGTTGTGCCCATTTTTTCCTGTTTCACCTGTCTTACATTTCAAATCCAATTTTAACTATTCCAATATTATCTCAAACGTACATAATAATGTTATTCATATAAAACTTGATATCTTCAAGTTCATTACAAGCTATTTACACGGTTAGATGTCAAAATGGAATTAAACCTAAGTTTTACACAAAACTTGTTTTCAAAAGCCGCAACTTGATTTTTTTCATATTTGATGCCCTGAATGAGTGTTATCCACCGGAGTATAGTCTGCAACTGAAATATTTTCCCGTATAGGGTGAGTCATGCCTAGTAGAGTATTTCCTACAGAGACTACTCCTCAAGCTAAGTGCATATGCAATGTTCCCATGCAATAATTCACAACCAACAACATTCCAAACACATGCACATCATTCCATTTTGAAATCTTAGCAATGTCATGTCATGAAGTGAGATGAGACTCAATCATGCAACTTAACCCGAGTCCTTCTTGACTCTTTTTCCCCATGTAATGCCATGATTTTTAAAACCGGGCTGTCCAGGCCCCTGCCATTAGTTTCACTCACCCAATGACTATTTGAAAATTTTTGGGTATTTTTTGGGGTGGGTATTTATGGACTTACACCAACGGTTACCCAATCGACATGGAATTTATGACTTCCACCAACGGTTCCGCGTACACTAACACACTTTATGGGCTCTTATACCAACGANAACGGTTACCCAATCGACATGGAATTTATGACTTCCACCAACGGTTCCGCGTACACTGACACACTTTATGGGCTCTTATACTAACGGNAACGGTTACCCAATCGACATGGAATTTATGACTTCCACCAACGGTTCCGCGTACACTAACACACTTTATGGGCTCTTATACCAACGAAAGTGAGTATCCGAATCACTGGGTCTCTCACCCTAGGGATAATGTAGTCCTTCTTGCTAACCCCGACCCAATTCTTTTTCATGCAACCGTGCAAATCAGCCGGATATTCAATTTAACTTTCCCGAGCCCACCTATCATCCGCCTATTTGGTGTTTGATATCAATCATGCACACACACACCCACACACATGGTTACGGATGCGATTTCTCCGTGCAAATGCAATGTAATGCCCCATTGTTATTTCAATATCATGCCTATATGTAAAGAGTGTCAAATGAGCAACTTTAAACACATATACATATCCCATGATAATTTATATCTCATGCATACAATTGCCAACTTTATCACAGTGTTAATACATCAATAAACATATATCAACATTTTGTTTTCCAACAATAATCACTAGCATGTTATTACATAGTATAAGCCAATAACATAATTCAATCCCCAAGGCATACTTTTAAACACATAGCATTCCCACAATCACATTTCCATGAAATTACACAAGTAATTACCCCATATCAACTCCAAGCTAGGAATTTATTTTAACCCATTTCTATATCCATTTTCATACCCATTTCAATCAATTTCACAAGCATAGGCACATAATATATATATATCTATCAACTCACCCGTTACATACAACACCTTAGGTTGTAAAATAAACTCAAGTAGGAAGGAACCCTACCTCTTGAAGCGTAAAAAACAGTCGTAGAAAATCCCAAGAACCCGCTTCTAGTTAGAATCTTCTCATCCCAAAATTTTTATTTTTCAACTTTTGGTGAAAATCCTCGTTTTTGGTACGTAGGCGTAGCCCTTGACGAAGAGACCGACTTTGACTCTTGGCCCGAGTGGATTTGAGCACTCAAACTTCCTAGATCGTAGAGAGAAGGTGGAGTCTTCTCTCACTTTCCCTCTCTTTCTCTCAATGTTGAAGGCTGGTTGAAGAATGAGGGAAAAATATGATTTTTTTCCCCTATTTATACTCTTATAAT